GGCATAATAATATCTCACCTAAGCACGGTTACAACCAGATAAATAATAAAATCATTGTATTTAACCTAACGCGTTACAGGCAGACGATTGGTCTGTGTTGTCCATGCAGTAGTTGGCCGTGAGGGGGTACTTCCCTAGAATTTTGAATTTGTTACCTAATTGTAATAATTCAAGTAATAATGACAAACACGATAATGTAATACGAATAAAATGTATTAAAACATCTTCACATTTTATTAATTTGCCTCCCTCCTAGAAAATGTCAGACGCAATGCACCATAAATGCACTGTACGAAAGATGATAATAATAATATAATAGTGTACAACGACTATAAAATACGATTTTTATTATTATTATTATTATATTATTATTATTATTACCTATACCTAACAATACCGGCTCTGCGTTGTTGGCTAACCTGCCGGTCCGTTTGAACGTCTCGTCGCCGCCGCCGCCGATTTTCAAAACAGTAAAAACGGCGGCGTACACCGTCACACGCACGACATTAAGCCGCCGTCGGCACGGCGCGACAGCGGATTCAGTAATCAGCCGGCCACCGTTCGCCGTGGACGTGTTCGTCTGTGTTCATCTGTGTTCAGTGTGTGCATCGCGCGCTGTCTATCGTCGTCATTATTATCGTGTCGTGTGCGTGCGATGAAGTGTCGTGAGACGCCGGCCACAGCCGTCAGCCGACCACTCGCCCGGTGACCGACCGCGGCCGTCTGCGACCTAACCGTAGAGGTGTGCTCCCGCGCGCCATGCCGTTCGTACAACGCGCCGTCGGCCCGGTACACCTGAGCCGGGTGAGGCTTCACGACGAGAACGGCGTGCCCACAATCCGGGACCGCGAGCTGGACGCCGTCACCAACTGCGCGCTGAGCAACGCACTCCGGCAGATGGCCTCGGTGGCCGCGCTCGCCGACGAGGTGTTCCGCGAGCTCCGGGACCAGCTCGCCGACGTGGCCACCAGATCGGCGGGCCTCAAGCGCCGCGTCCAGGCCCTCGGCCACCTGGTGGACAACGCCGACCCCAAGGCCGTCACAGTCCGTAAGTCCGAAAATTCGTCTACACACTAAGTTTACGCGCAGTACATAGCGACGCAGGCGCCTCGAACGCGAGACGGGGGTTAAGGGCCGGTCGCCTCCCCGGGAAAAAAAAATTTTTGTCGCCAAAAACGTGTGTTTCGCTACAAAACACATCGAGTTTACCTCTAGTAGTAGGTACCTACGCCTATATCAACAGGTAGTACGGTGTGATTTCGGGAAAACATTACTATAGCGCAACTCTCCCTCAGAAAGAACTACCGACCGTAATAGTAATTAGTAGTAATAGTTAGGTAATAGTCGTCTGCGAGACTGTGACATGCATTTTGATACCGCGTCACCGGTTAGATCAGATGGTATATTCTTGTTTTTTTTTTTTTTTCTAAACGATTCTCGTACCTGATCATAGAAACCCGTGCAGGGTATCTATAGTAAGTACTCGAAGCTTCTTGTTTGACTTTTTACTGGTACTTATTCGTCATATTTATCGTGTCAGATGAAAAACAAAATCTGTAAATGCTTATAAACGGGCTCAAGGGACGAATGTTAGCGAATACGATGTAGGTTTATACATATTATAAACTATATGTACATAGACGCTATGCTGTTGGACTGTTGACTCTGTTCGGTTCTTTTTTTTTTTTTTTTTAATAACCTTTTGAATGGACAATAATAATATCGTAACGACGTAATTTTATTATATTTATGGTTTTGGCGGGAACAAAACGGGATTGTCGAGAGTAAGACTATTAATACTAAACACGTTTTGAAGAGGATACATACCCAAAATCGTACCCTTCGATTTATTTAATTTTTTTTTTTTTTTTGTTTCATCAACATATAATCGTCTACATCACAGTAACCTCACTCACATATGTTTCAAAATCCGGTCCCCATAACATAAGAGCATATTTCGGGGTTCACACGCCGAATGGCGTGAAACAACTTGGGCCGAACAACGAGTGTTTATAATATAATTTTTATTGATCGTCTATAGTGGATGGTTCGTGCCATAGGTATGTGTATGTTTTATTCGTTTTGCTTTTTAACCATCATCATATGTTGTTAAATAAATTATAAAACAACTGAATCAACGTCGAAAGTTAATTAATGGTTAAGTAGATAAGTCCGTACGCAATAGCGCCGATAACTAATGGGTATTAAAGGACGGTTAAAAAAAGCATTATACTAGTATATCAGTAAGTTGTAATTACTAATTAGAAACAAATAAATACATGTCGGAACATTATATTTGATATACTACATATGTACAGTACCTATTTGATTATACAGGCAGCATCGGGAATATGATCAAGAGTAGGTTACTTTCTCAGGTGCAAATGTGCAATTCAAGGTTATCACTGTAAATATTACTAAATAATATAAAGAACGTACTCTATTTGACCACATAAACCACTGTTAGACACTTACATATTTTTAAATACCGGAAATGTTGAGAGATTTCGAATAAAACATCTTCGTAAAAACATTTATTCTGTATACCTGCTGTATATAGGTGCATATAACATAACATTTCCTTTTCAATCGTGTTAAGAACAAGACGCCTCCTAAAAATGACCTAGGAAAACTTTTATCAATCAATTAACACCACCACGTATTATAGTTGTCCGTTACACAACAATAATTATTGTGTTATCCGTACGACCGCAGCGCATGACAATAAATGGCGATGTTTAAACTGGTTTCGGTGCTGGTTATAACCGACGAAAATTCAAAAACTTGCCATATTATTGTGTACCTACATTCAAAATATATTTCATATAATATATTTTATTATTATTATTATTGTTAATATTATTGTATGCTGTTTGTATACTCTATGTGCAATCATACGGTATGACGGTTATATTTCCAACCTTATTTTATTATTATTATTATTATTTTATTATTTTCGACTACAGGTTTATGCCAACCAGCAATGTGCAGCAGTGCAGCTGGTGTCGGTTATTAAAAACAGCAGGGCTGTATGTATAATATAAAAACGGGGTTCACTAAAAAAAAAAATAATAATAATAAATAAACCGGATCTATGTACCGGCGTCGTATTGTAGTGACTAGGGAGTAACAACACCCTTTGAATTCGGAGACTCTTAACGGACAAAACGGACCGGATGGATGACCGTTTAAATGAATTTATAATTAGTCGAATCTGGAACAGTCGACGCCGTCAGATTTTGCATCGTCGTGGTTATGAATATAATTGCACACTTACAAATTTCAGTAGGTCACGCGCGCGTATCGTGCTGATACTGTGTTGCGTTTACGTTATTTGCCGCATACAATATTTACATCGAATAAGCGCCGTATTATAGACATGATGTATAATAACATGTAAAATACGAAAAAAATTCATTAAAGAACAATTAGTGAATACGTGGTTCAGCGCAATTTCGAGCATTATTCTTTTTAACGTTTTTTTGCAATAGTAGTATACATATTGATATAATATTATACACTATGGATAATATGTCATAATAATATGCAGTTTTGACACAATATAATATTATGTACTCAGGGCCGGTTTAGGGCGTAATTGACACAAGTCTACTATATGACATTAATAACTAGAGCCGTTACAAGGGCAGCATTTTTTTTTTTTTAAATAGATATTTATTTATCTATAAATTTAATTGTATTCGTGTGTAAAAAATTACTAACACCAGCCTTGTAACGTTGTTATAATACTTTTATTGTTACATAGTGTTATTAAATAATAATATATGTATAATACATTATTAAGTGATTATTGTAAATGTAGATACTTATTATGTTGTATGACTTTTTGCAAAAATTTAATGCTCACAAAAATTAGTATTAATATTTAAACATACGTAAGTTATTTAATTGTCATTTGTCACTTATTATTGTCAGTTACGCTTTGTCAAAATTACCAAGAAGCATATTTAATGAACTTTCGAATTGTAAATTCTTAGAACTGCATAAAAGTTTATTATTCAATACCTTAAATTGTTCGCGTCCGTAATTATTGAACATAATGTATGGATAATTACATTTTCTTGAACTGTAAAGTAACATGTTTAGGTAAATTTTACAAATTATAATTATTATACATAGCAAATGTCTTTTTGTTTTGAAAATTTAAACATTTGTTTGTTAATGCTAAATTTAAATATCAATTAATGTGCATAACTTAATACTTACTAATAATCAATAGAAATTATTTAAACACTATATTCATTGTTTCTATGAACAATTTTTTATTCACTAAAAACACATAAAATAACTATACTTTGAACGTATTAAGTATGATTTTTAATGAAAATATTGTAAAAATAAAATAGTGTTATAAAATAAAAATATAAGAAAAGACTTCAACGTTACGATACAGACACCTACTAAATCTATTGATTCGATAACGTACTAATTTATTTTAGGTCTAATGTATATACTCACAAAAAGTATATTTTCCGTGCCTTGACAGAGGTAGATAATAAATTGATGTGTGACGTCCTCTAAGTGCACAACATTCCACTGTATCCCATAGTTTATTTTTAATAAATTGTCTTCATATGTTTATATATCAGTTATCAGTTCATCCGAATTTCATAAAGTTCAATGATTTATATAGCTTAATATAGACCGTTAAGAACTAATGTAAAACCAAAACCAGACAATGACGCCAGTAGGGTAGGAATGTTGGTTGACAGTAGTTTTCGACTTTTAATCTTAACGAGATTATAGCTGTTTATAATACAACAGCTATTGTCTACGTCAGACGCCATTAGGACGGTTCCAGAATATTATTATTATTATTGTCATTATTGTTTAATTTTTATCGTCCATTAGCCTTGGACGTTCATTTCAAGACTAATCGCATCTCCCGCGAGTGACGTTAATTAAAATGCATACATTCATTTAATACACAGTGTTCGTCAACACTTCGTCCGGCGTAGGTATATGGTCGTGTGACATAGCATTACACTCGGGTACTGCTCATTTCCATCGAGTTATTTTGTTAACTGTGTAAAAGTGTATTTCGTAGTGTACGCGTTTGTGTGTGTATGTATACGAATATGTGCACGTGGCAGACAACAGAAGCCGTATTCGTGATGCTGGGAAACCATAGGTGAACAGGGTATGTTACAATGTATAAACGTCAACTCTTTTCTACCATTGAAATGATTGGGTTTCAACGAAATTCCTGGTAAAAAAATGTAATTTCTTTTTTTTTAATATGTAAACTATATCTCTGTCACCCTCTGAGAGTGGAATGCGTATGCTATAAATATATGGAGAAACCTTTGCAAGTATTGAAAGGGGTAAAAATATACGGTTGATGCATAATAATATATTAGTGTAGGTTTTTCAAAAACCACTAAAGTTACTATCAACATGGTGTAAGTCAAAGGGATGAATAGAATAGATACGCCGTGTGCTTTGTATACTAGAATATTATATATATACGAGTATACAGTTAGAAACCGTATAATTGTTTGAATGTCAAAATAATTATAAGAAAGCAATATTGAAACCATTCACGCATTTTCGTACATGTACCGATGTACGAAAATGATTAAAATAAAAGCTATAGAATTAATATTTTATTCATATTCGAATACCCAACCTTCTAGTATTTATATGTATATTTTAAACGAACGTTTTCTCTTTACCTACAGATAATATGGTTAAAAATGATTATGAATGCGTTATAAAAGGGAGATGGTACCTACGTTAATAGGTTTGTGAAGGGGATCACATAAAAATTGCCGTTAAGCACGTTCATCATTGATTCTAAGTAAAAAAACAAATACAAGAGGCATATTATTTATTTCCACTACGTTCGGTTACTATGACTACCGGAAGTTAATCAAACAAAATGTTCATATCACACTTAAAAAATAAGCCTACCAGCAATTATAATAATTAAAATTAAAACATATTTATTTGTTTATTTTGAGTGTTGAAGTGAAAAGATAATTTTTGAAAACAATAGCCATACATATATTTGTATATAACGGCATC